CACAATTAAAACATTTTATTTAGGCTTATCTATTGCCTTCAAAAAGTTGACGACTCTACATGTTTCGACGTTACAACGTCATCCTCAGGAGTCAATTGTGTACCAGTTTAACGTTGAATATTATTTATGATTTTAAACATAATGCATATTCGTTCACTTTAATTTGGTGATTATGTACATAAAAACAACTCACGACATCTATATTAAACAAGAATAATTATAAAGCGATAGTTAAGCCTAAATGTTGTATTATGATAGATCATCAAGGTCGAACATTACATTGAAATTTATAATAGCAAATAGTAACCTAAGTCGCATGCAACTGTGTACACATGCCAAATATTAGAATCAAATATCACAATAGAAATACTATATTCTACATGACAAAAACTCGCAAAATCCTTACCTAAAACCAAAACACATGGCAATAATAAGTTGCAGTAAAAGATCCAAAATAATCTTGGCGCCATGTAGTGCGTGACGTCACCAACAAAGAATGGCGGCGGTTGCTTCTACAATCAACGGTATCACTAGGTTGCAATCAGTCCAGGTCGACTTTGAATACAAGAGTTTCTTCCACACATCTAACGTGTGAATACTTTTCCTCGTATCTCTTGTGGTACAAATATGAAAATATTTCAAACGGTGGAGCTAAAAATATCCAAGGCTTAGTGGAATTCAATGTGGATAGAAATGGTTCTACTGCCTTTCCGATATTACGCAATTTAATTAAACGTAGCGCCACGTGGTGGCTATTATAAGTGTCAATGAAAAAGAGTGAAATTATCTGTGAATATTTATTTAATAATCCTAAACAGAATATAAAGTAGAAGCTTAGAGCTTTTAAAATACTGCTAGGACTAAATCAGTTCATTAGAAATATATATTTCTTGTTTCAGATGCACTAGTAATATATATTTCTTGTTCCAAATGTGCAAACTTCGAAAGTGTGCTTCCTAGTTGTCGAAAGTAAATGCTGATTACTAAGAACGATTGTCTACTAGAAATCCAAAAACCTGCATAAAAAAGGAAAAAAATATTTTATTTGTAAAATGTGTTATGAAAATAGTTATGTACTTCAACTGTCACAATCATATAATTTCATGGAAATTGAACTGTTTTAAATCGTGTAAAATAAAGTTCAAATTGACCTTCCGAAGGGATTCGCCATTTACGTAATACAGAACTAAAGTAAAGATTATGTATTAGTTACAGGAGCGTCATTGGAGAGAAGCGCCTCAAGCTCGTACGGTGGCCCCAGTTTCTGTTAGACATTTCTAGTTAGGCCGTCATTGCGTAGGGCTCCCCTACTGAATTTGGGGACTTACGAGAGGTCTATCTTCTTTGCCCATCCAAAGTCTTTTGTAAAC